CCTCTATCAGGTCTGTGCGCCGTTCCGGCAGCTCTCGGCGATGACGGCAACGACCTTGGACGCTACCTGGGCCCGGACCCCGACGATGAACGGGTTCTCCGCCCACTCGATCAAGAGAGGGGCGATGACGCACCTCTTCGCGCTGATGGCACGCGGGGAACCGATCTCGCCGTACCTCGTCGATCGCCTGGGCAAGCACGAGGAGAAGGGCGGCCCGGGGACGCTATCCGACATGACGATTCGGTACGGCGGTGGCCTCGTCGACATGGCACGCGCCCTGGAGACGGGGAAGGTCACGATCTTTCTGTGACCAGCTTCTTGCGGTCGGATGTCTTCGAGAAGTCGGGCGGGCATTCGATCACCAGACGAGGCGGCTCGACACGGCTCCCTCGGACGAAGGAAGAGAAGGAGGCTCCCCTTCACGCAGCATCCATCGACTGTATGGACGTGGAGAAGTTGAAGAATCGGATGACACCGGCGGCGCGCAAGCGTTTTGACGATACGTGGCGCCTGACGTTTTCACCGGAAACCGGCGACCTTCTACCGTCAATGGGATCGCCTTCCCGACTCGATCCTAGACATGCGCGCGAGCTGTCCAAACACGGTATCGCCAGACGAGCGCCTGGTCCGGGCCCTCTGGTAAACGTGCCCTTCACCGTCATCGAGGAGAAGGACGGGGCGTTGCGCCAGCGATTCATTTTGTGGTCGTTCGATGGGAATCGTGTGGCCGACGCCCAGGGTTACGAAGCGCACGTGCCATTGGGGCATGTGTCCAAGTACCTTACCGCGGTACATGAGGAGTGTGGCACGACGCGGGACTTCAGAACGGGGTTCTACGCAGTGGCCATTCCTCCAGGCGCAACTCGGCTCTTCCGGTTCTGCGACGCGGAGGGCGCATGGTGGGAGTTGACACGTCTCCCCATGGGGCATTCGTGTGCCCCGGAGATAATGCACACTCTTGCCGCCGTTTCGGCCGGGCATCCGGACTACGTGATGCCCGAGTTTGCGGAGCGCTCTGTGGTTGTCGATGTGTGGGTCGACAACATCAGATACGCCGGAACAAAGAAGTCCGTCGTCGAAGCCACTCGACGTTTGGATCGGACCGCCTCCGACTGCGGCCTAACTTGGAAAGAGACGGATTCGCAAACTGCCTCACGGCAGTACGAGTTCATCGGAGTCCGGTGGGATCATGTGTCACACCAGGTGGCGCTGTGCCGCAAGCTCAAGCGGAAGCTGTTGGAAACGCGCTACGTGCTGGGTGCTGCGACCGTTCCGGCGCATGAGTTGGAAACCTTGGGAGGGCGCCTGCTGCACGCATCGGCCATCGCGGGGATTTTCCCCGGGTCCTTCTGGTTTTCGCTGAAGTTTCTCCGACGTGTCACCAACGCGTTGAATCGAGGAGCCAAGCTGCCGTCCGATTACGTGTCGATTTCCCCGTGCGTGCGGGCGTCTCTGCAAACCTGGATTGATTCGGTTTTGAAACCTCGCAGTCTTCCAACCGGAGCGGCGAGGCCGTCTATAACGGCATTTGTAGATGCCAGTAAAAAGGGCTGGGGGGGCGTCCTTGTGGACTCTCGCACATCGGAGGTGACCATCCTTGGTGCGGCGTGGACACGGGAGGAGTCCCTCTGGCACATTAACGAGCTTGAAGCGCTGGCCTTCGAGCGCGTTCTTTTGTCCTTGCCCGACAGTGCGTCTGGGGGTCGGGTTGATGTTGTCGTCGACAACACAACAGTCAAGGGTGTCGCGCGGAAAGGGTGCTGTTAGCTGCTACTCAGGGATCAGCTACGCGTGTACCGATGCTAAGAGGGTCGTGGCATACTCCACGGCATGGCATGTGGGAGTCATGACCATCCTTAGCATACCGCTACGGTATACGCTGGTCCCACTAGCACCACGAGGACGGTGCATGCACAGCAGGAGCTCCTCTGCTAGCTACTACGAGTACTGCACCACGCAGCACGAGCTCATCCTCTAGTGCACCAGCTACGTAGCTACGTAGTATCCTCTACCGGCTGTAGGATGGTATGTGGTATCCACCACACACGCGTGGCTGCGGAGGTCCATCTTGAACGACGCGGTGGTCGCAGGTTTGAAGCGGGTGCAGTCCTTGAACTGTGCCATATCAATTCGATGGGTGAGGAGTGCGGGGAATCCTGCTGATCTCCCATCCCGGGTTCCCTTGACGGCCTTCACTCCCCAGTCCGTGGCGGAGGTGACACGAGCGGTGAGGACGTTTTTCACTGGCGGAGTGACCACAAATTTTGTTCCCTTATATCCCAATGGGACAACAAATTTTGTTCCCTTATATCCCAACCAACAAATTTTGTTCCCTTATATCCCAATGGGATTGCCTTGCCCAAGGTAATCCCATTGGGATATAAGGGAACAAAATTTGTTGTCCCATTGGGATATAAGGGAACAAAATTTGAAGTGGTGGGATATAAGGGAAATTCACCTTACAATTAATTGTTATTACGAAAGAAAAACAATACACGATGGTGTACGCGAAGAACAAAAACACCGGTAACAGGTTTCCGGTTTGAGGGCTGATTCGGCGGCAGCACATTACCCCCCCCTCAGGAGACACCACTGTTTTATCTTCAACCATCCTACAACCTCCTTTCGCACACAGGTTGGATCGGAAGTCGACGTATATTTTGCGAAGGGCGACGCCATAGCGGACACTAGCTGCTTGAAACCGGGCGTGCAGCTCGGCTATGTCGTTGGCGGGCTGGTGCCCATAGCGTCGTTGGGCGCCGCGACGTACGTGTCGGGGCGGCGGCTGATCCGTATGCTGCGGTTCCACACGCTGCACACCGACCAGCAAGGGATCACGCTGCTGCGCAAAGGGGAGATGCACGACCTCACGGGGCAGAAGGGACCGAACCCGGTGGACGCGTTTCTGTCGGGGCATTACAAGCCGGGGTTCTCGAAGACCCATTGGAGCTTGGGTGAGTTCGAGCGGGCGAAGCGGCTGTCGTACGAGAACCAGTTCCGGGCCCAGCCCGTCGACGAGCGCGCTCTGGCTTCTCTGAAGAAGCAGGTCTACGAAGAGGAGGAGCGCGCCAAGGCGCAGCGACCCCCGCCTGGCCCGGACCCGCAGGCCCGGGATTCCTGAACACGGGCAGACTCCAGCTCCTTCGGTTCGGCCAACGGCAACGTGCGGCGGCGGCTGATCCGCATGCTGGTTCCACACGCTGCACCGACCAACAAGGGATCACGCTGCTGCGCAAAGGGGAAATGCACAACCTCACGGGACAGGCGGGCCCGAGCCTGGTGGACGCGTTGTCGGCCGGCCGGTCGTGATGTGTCTCTGATCTCCAATGGGTCCTGCTCGGAGCCCGGCGGCTGCTGCTTCTGCCGGTACGGCTCGGACGAAGGCACGGAAGTGCGAAACCGGTCTGTCGAGCATTTGTCGACGCGCAACCGATGAAGCCGAGCAGACGAAGGAGAAGAGGAACGCCAAGCGCGCGCGCGCGCCTGAACGCGACGTACACGAGACGAGTTGAAGAGACGAAAGTATGACAACTCACGTGCGAAGCAATGGCCGCGACGCCGACGCCGACGCCGACGGCTGTCGTCGGTGGTGCGCACCGCCAGTCGTTGCCCGATGTTGCCGAGCCCGCTCTGCCCGCCTTGGGTGGCTCCAGGGTGGCCTGGGGAACAACTGAAGCGTTCTGGTTTCCTCGCACTGGCGGCATCGTCGTGAAACCGCGTCCCTCTTTTGCCGAGGCAAGTCTAGCGACAAGGAACAAGCAGGAAACGCCCCCAGTGCCAAAGAACTTCAAGTGCAGGAGAAGGAAGACATGGGGTTCCCACCGCAGCACAGTGCCGCTTTCCTTCTTCTGTGGCTGGCGGCCTGTCCCAATCTCTCATCGTATACCCTTTACTGTTCGGCCCGCTACGCTTTTGATGCATGAGGGATTCGAAGCCGAGCGCTTCCCGCGACCTTAGGCGGCGTTTCGCTGCGATTGAGAAGTGTTCAGACCCCTTTCAACAAGACTTCTAACACGATGTAACGCGGGCGGGCACCTCAACACAATGTGTTGTCGACAACGAACAAGTACAATAATAAAGCACACCCACGCCTCGCCAGACGTGGAGCACGAACACCCGGGGATAGCCATTGCTGGCCAGCAGAGTAGTCCCGAGCTCTCTTCTCAGTGACACCAAAAAATCACCATTGGCCTTACGCCAATCTTCTTCTTCTTCTTCTTCTTGTTCCTTCGAAGGTGGCTTCTACTGGCCTGCGGTCTTACCAGACAGACCTTCTGAAATGCACACACACGAGTCCGAGAGGCGAGGCACCTAGTCAACCATATCTTCGGCGAATTTATTCCATCCACCAGATGATGTCTTCAACCGGGCCCATACAAGTGCGAATTGTCGGCGGGCGAAACATACCGAGGAGCCCTGTTGTTCCGAGGGTTTGAGTCTTGTGGCCGGTTCAGATGATGATGTACGGTTATGCCGTTCTGACCAGTGCAACCTCATGCCGTCACGCATTGGCCGTCGATGCTCACTACTGCTGATAGCTACCCAGATCGGCGCCGCCGATCCGGGTAGCTAGATTATTGTTTCCAGTCAACGGATCACTTGAAACCGATGCGAACAAGTCCGAACGATGTGTCATCTTGTTAGCATGCATCCCTGGGAACTGGGGGGTTGCCAACACTGAGTCATACCATGCGCGTGATGCAGTGCCACTCCCGGATGTAGTGCAGCTCCAGGGCAACACGTGTGGCGGACTCTGAGGTGCCCCAGAGCTACCGCCACCCCCGTGCAAAATTCACATGATATTTTTGTATGAGCACCTGCTTTGTAGGAAATACTTGAGGAGGCTGCCAGCTGCAAAAGATCAAAGGAGGTAAATGTGCTGTAGCCCACACGACACACAGGTGAATCTGGGTTTAGTGGCGGGCGTCAGCGTTCAACAAAAAAGACCCACTTTGTAGTTGTTGTTTCTCCCCCTCTAGCCTGGCACAAGGCAGCCCCTCGAGTATTTCTGCACACAAGTGTGCTGTATCAGATATTAAGCTGATAAGAACAGATACTACACTTGATCTTAGCCAAAAGACCGAGAAGGTATGCCCAGAATCAGGAGAAAGCAAACGCAGGTTGTGGAAGATCAAGCGCGGATGATGCGTGAGCCCATGATCAAGACGAAAAAAGAGAACCGCGGGAGACACACCCGATCAGGCTTGGGTGCGTCCGACCCATTTGGACCCCAAACGTGGGCATCTGTCAGAAATAAAGCCCGAAGTAGGGGTGGCCTCTGGCTGAGGGGTTGGGAGGGGAGGGGGAAGGCCGGCACGGCTGAACAATGACAGTCACCCTGCGGCAGCTCAATTTCCTGCGGCTCAGCCGGGACGCCATACAAAAATGGTTGAAGGACCCCGAGTTCGCGTCCATCATGAAGGGGCTGTACTGTCGCATCGTCGTCCGCGACTCGACGGGCAACAAGTTCTACCGCATCTGCCGGGTGGAGGGCATGACACAGAACGCCCGGGAAAAGGAGAAGGACTCTTGCAGCATGGAGCTCTCCTACGGCTCGACGACGAAGTCTTTCAACTTGGACTTCGTCTCCAACGGCCCGTTCCAGCAAGAAGAACTCGACCAGTACGTGCAAATCATGAAGGACGATGGTATGGGGCTTCCCTGTGTGTAAATATGAGGCTCGTTTTCGACGGTTTTAGATCTATATCTAGTTGACTCAAGAGGTTGTCGACAATGAAGAACGTGAGAACGACTGCAACCGCTGACTGAATTTCGGAATTTTTCAAGATATCCCGAGGAATTCGCGTAGATCGTCCTTCAGACACCGATCCTCCCCGTCACCAGGAGTGATGAAGTCGTCAAAGTAGGCTACTACAGAATTCTCCGAACCACCTTGCAGAGGACCGTGGCCAACGCGTTGTATTGCGGCGCCTGCACCATTGGCTGCAGAGTATGCGAGCCAGCACGGTGCTAAAGATTCTGTTTCCGCAAACATTCAATCGGCAAGTCTTCAACTGCCTAAGCCGGCAAGAGTTTATTAGAGGAGTTGCAATGCTGCATGTTTGACGAAATGGTCGGCAACGTACCCCACAGGTGTCGATATGGTGCTTCCCTCCGAGGTTGAGGACAAGTCCAAGCTGATGCGGCAGTTCGTGGAGAAGAATAAGAAGGCAGTATGCTTTCACTTCTAAAAGCAAAAACAAAATTCTGCAATCATTTCTGAAGCTGAACCGCCCGAGTCGGTGTGGGCGACCGGATACTCCCCGGAGAGATGGTCCCTGCTAACTCAGGCGGACACGTCGCAAATTAGCCTGGGGTCGGTCACGTTATTCACAAACTTGGCCAAAGGGAACGTGTGCACGTCTAACACCGCCAGACTCCCAGCAGTGGTCCCCTCGAGACTCTAATGTCCCCGGACCTTGACACCTCAATAAATGCAGAAAGGGTTGGTACATCCGCGCAACTATTTCCCCCGAATCCACAGGAGGACAAAAATCGCGCGAAGCCCGAGGAGCGAAGAGAGATCAAGGAGGAAAAGGACGAGGAGATGCCGGGCAAAGAAAAGGAAAAAGAGAAAGAGACCGAGAAGGAGAAGGAGAAGGAGAAAGAGAAAGAGAAGGAGAGGGAGAGGGAGAGAGAGAAGGAAAAGGAGAGAGAATCGAAGAAGCGCCCCAGGGAGGAGCGAGAGAAGGACGATGGCGTTGAAAAGGAGATCCGTGACTTGAAGAGCAAACTCACTGACGTCCAGCACAAATGCGCAACGAAAGACCGACAGATTGAGTATGCCTCTCCCTCGCACCCCCCCACTCTGCATTAGCGCTGAACCCGACACAGCGATGTGATGCGAGTCTGGTCTGTCAGTGTTTGTCTCTCTTAGAGACAAGCAGTCGTATCGTGGACTATCACCTGGGACTAGTCTGTGCAGGGTGAACTACCAACAGGGATATTCCCAGCGGAAATCGTGTGAGGAAGCAGCTTGCGAGCTGAACCCCAAAAGTCACACAACTTGGCCCGCCGAATGTGTCTGTGTCAAAGAACCGAGGCACGCAGACACGATGGTGAGCGTGTATTATTCCAAGGCATGTGTCCTCGGGCGTCCTCTCACGGCGCAAACAACTTCCACGTGCACAACCATTATTATTGGTACCCTCAAATGACTCCACTTGCGCAGCGATCTGCGGTATGAGCTTGATCGGCTGGAGCGTGCTGTTGACAAGACGAAGAGTGAGACTAAAATTCTGGAAGGCGGCTTGACCACGGAACGAGACGTGCAGCGCCTCACCAACCTCAAGGTGAAGGAAATGGACGTCGTCATCAAGATGCAAGCGAATCTCATCAGCGCCTTGCAAGAGCAACTGGACGCAGAGAGAGAACTTCAGATGTCCATCGCAGTATGCACTTTGTTCCTCGGGGAGGGGGTCCCAACTCGAAGGGGGTATTTTATTGATACCAAACAAAAATGGGTCTGTTTTCTCACTCAGAAGCCAGCTGCCTGGAAAATCACGTGTGGCGCATTTGTGCGTGCAGACGGACTGGACTGAGAAAAGAGCGAAACTGGCACGTAAAGGCAACAAGGAAATGCTCGAAAAGGAAGCATTCTGGCTGGGCACCAGGATAACCGCTGTGTGTTATTGCACTCACAACGGGGGGCGTTCATCGAGAAATCACCCAATCTGCCAATCTTGAGATCGTTCTGGCCTACTACACTTAATACCCGTGAGAGCCACATTCGGCCGCATGCTCCACGTCTGGTGATGTCGTTCCGTAAAGTCCTTTCCGTTTCAGCCTTGCGATCTTACTGTGCATCGAGCAGCCGTCACAGAAGAACGAAGTGGTGTTGTGCGCTGAAACAAGAAAAAAAGAGAGGGCCGCCCCTCCATGGGTTCATCCCCAACAGAAGGAGTGAGGAGTCTTCTCCCTTCCTTTTTACTTCCTTCTCCACTTTGTCTTCTCCCAAGAAAACTTGATGCTAGTATCAAGCATGCAGTAAAGGTAGACAACACTTCCTAAACATTACTCTGAGCAAAATCCTCGCAGAAGAAGCGGAAGCAGATAAGCGTCAAGTACAAGGAGTTGAAGACGCAGATCGACGAGAAGCCTGTCATGTTCTAATGACCGTCGTCTGCTGCTGGTTGCCGGCCGGCAAATTCGATGAAGGTTCTGGATCCCAAGCATCGACGTCTCAAGTAGAATTCGCTCGGTTCGATGAGACGACGCCTTACCGTAAATGAAATATGGCAGTCCAACAGTCGCCTTCCATCGTTTTGATAATTCGTTTCGAAGTCCTTGCCATTCACACATCGACAAACGGCCGGGTGCATATAATCGAATCCCTCTGATGCTTCGTTTGGAGTCTAGAAGACGACCGCTGGCATCGTATCGTGAACCCCAAAATACCGTCATCCGAGCGCTAACCGTATCTGCATGTCCGAGGTAAACGAACCGATTCGTGTGTATGTAAACGAACTCGTGTGCAACGCAAGGCGCTGTGCCGCGTCTTGACGCGTTGGCTTTGGGTAATTGGTAGCCACTTTCCCCCGTAACCGTGCTCTGCAGTACCGTCGAACACGTGAAGCTTGGCTCCCGTGTAGAAGTACACTCGTACTCGCGAAAAGGGGAGGTGTCGCCGCCCCGTTTTTCAAGCTTTCTCACGTTTTCGCCGCTTCGGACCGTCGCCTTCCCTCCACAGGGGCTCCCTGTGGCCTGACTTTAGAGACTGCCAACCTGCGAAGTCTACACGACTTTGATTTAGAAGACAAAGAAAAAGGAAAAAAGAATTGAGGGAGGGGGGGAAAGAGAACGTGCTCCCGCCCCGTGCGCCGTTTCCATTCTCTTTCTGCGTATGAAAACGCGCGTGCGAGCAAAGACAAACGTTCCGCAACCCGGATGCAGAGAGCTGAAGTGGCACGTTGGCGAACCGATTGACCAATGCCTGCAGACCCCGAAGTCACCCCACTGACAGTCACATCAGACTAACAAGAAGCAGGCTAACTATCCTTGAATGAGGAATGCCCAGTGGGCGCAAGTCATCAGTTTGCACAGACACCAGTGGGGTCGAGACGTGTAGTGAAACGAAAGGTGTCGAAAGGAAGTGTAAGCAGTGCTGCTCGCAAAGCTCAACAGACCGCAAAGTTCCGCGTGTTCCAACTTTGGGGACGCTATGGCCTACCAGAAGGTAGAAAAACGGCGTGAAGTGCTGCAGCCGTGGTGAAGATAAGGCAAGAACTTAGCACAGCAGCAATGTCACGGTAAGAAAGTGAGAAACCCCGCAGTTTTAAAAAGGGCGTTCGTCAATTGGGGGTCGGGAGAGCGGGGGGGGGAGAGGGGGTGTGGCGGGACCTCCGGCCCGGCAGCGGGCGCACCCACCCGCCCGCCCATGCTGCGGCAGCTCGCAGCTGTGGCCCTGCTGAGCGGCGGGTTGGCCGGTGCGTCCGACGAACCCGCTGGCCCCAATGGCGGGTTTCACGAGGCCGGCCCGGCCCAGGCTGAGCCTCTCCCGTTGGTGGGCGAGTTGGCACCCGCCGTAGGAACAGAGCCGCAAGCCAGCGGAGTCCCGCCTCCGCAGCCTTCGTCGCCGACGGGTGTCGAAGGGCGGGATGGAGACATCGGATCGGAACGTGTCCACCAGCAACACCCCCCGCAGCCTCCGCCAGGCACGGCTCAAGGTCCTGTAGGTAGCACTGCAAGTGCAGGCACAGCACCTGACGGTAGCGTCCCTGCAGGCACCGCTCAAGTAGGTCCTGTGGGTAGCACTTCCGTGGGCACGGCTCCTGAAGGCACTGTCCCTATTGGCACCGCTCCTGCAGGCACCTCACCTCTCGGCGCCTCTCCTGCAGTCGTTTCTGCAGGCACGGCTCCTGAAAGCGCCGCTAGCATGGGCACCGCGCCCTTAGGCACGGCTCCCGCGGACGCTCCTGCGCGCACCGATCCTATCGTCGGTGCTCCGATCGTCGGCGCTCCCGAAGGCACCGTGCCCACAGGCGCCGCGCCCGCGGGCTCTGCCGGCATCCAGCCTCCGCCGCTGCAGCCCCCGCCACCTCCCGCCGACGGCGAGCAGCAGCTGCCTGCCAATACTCCGAAAACGCCGCCGCC